ATTTCCTACCGAACCATTAAGCTGATAGAAGTGTTGCTGTTAATTGAGGAAATGAAAATGCCCTGAGAGGTCTTGGACAGCCTTGGGCACAGCAAGAGGAAACGAGCACTTAGACTTTGCCAGTAAAGAGAGGCTACACACAGAAAGTAGAATACATATATAGTGTACACATATACACAAGCTTTCTCTCTTCCTCTTTCTTCACATCTTCCACTGTTTGGTTTCCTTTTTCCTTGTCACTGAGCATAGAAATTACATATTCAGTGGTCTATACAGCATCACTGCAAAATCACTGTCCTGAGCGGCAATGACTAATATGAGTCCATCATGCCAAATATAAACCAAGGTCTTTTACCCTTGTGTTCTTTGCCTTGTATTCAGTGATTCTCCTGTGATCAGCTGGCCACTGAGTACTGTGAGATCCTTCCCAATGAACAAGGTGAAACTACCAGAAAAATGTGTAATGTCACAATTTGTTAAAGTCCCAGGTCATCTCTAACTTCTCACAATAATGTACACCTATGCTTATAAACGGTATTCCCTCTATACTAGTTTATGATTGGTTTAGGCCCTGCTCTGAAGAATTTTTTAAATTTTCAGAAGTATGTGGCATACACTAACCAGACCATTGCAATACGTGGACATATCAGCTCTTCAAAGAATTCTTTGGCAAAGGGTTCTGGCTACTGCTGTAAAAAACAATAAAATGTTTCTATAAAAACATTAATAACAAGAAGTTAAAGAGAATCTCCATCCTCTATTGGATGCAAGAAGGAAGATTGTGAAAATAGATGAGGAAGACACTGAGATTCTCAGTGCCTTCTTTGCCTCAGTTTTTAATAATAAGACCCGTTATTTGCAGGGTACCCAGATGCCTGAGCTGCAAGACAGGCACAGGGGGAAGAAGGAAAACCTCATAAACCAAGGGAAAATGCTCAGCAACCTCTTGCACCATTTAGACACACACACAAGAGTACTGAGGGAGCTGGTGGAAGAGCTCACCAAACCACTTTCAATCATTTATCAGCAGTTGTGGCTCACCAGGGAGGTCCCAGACAAATGGAGGTGGGAAATTGGCTGCCCATCTACAGAAGGGCCAGAAGGAGGATCTGGGGCATTACAGTACACTCAGCCTGACCTCAGTGCCAGGGAAGGTTGTGGAGCATATCCTCACAAGTGCCATGACACAGCAGAGGACAACTGGGTAATCAGGCCCAGCCAGCACAGGTTTATGAAAGGCAGGTCCTCCTTGTACTGACCTGACCTCCTTCTCTGACAAGGTGACCAGCTGAGTGAAACAGGAATGGCTGTGGATGGATGTTGTGAACCTGGACTTGAGTAAAGCCTTTGACACTGTATCCCAAAGCATCCAGCCAAAACAACCACCTGCAATACTACAGGCCAGTGGCAGAATGGCTGGAAAGTTGCCTGGAGGAAGAGCGGCTGGAGGTGCCATCTGACACCTCCACTGGATGAACATGAGCCAGCCATGCCCAGGTGGCCAAGAAGGCCAGTGGCATCCTGGCCTGTGTCAGCAATAGTGTGGCCAGCAGGACCTGGGCAGGGATTGTCCCCCTGTACTCAGCACTGGTGAGGCCACACCTCAAATGCTGTGTTCAGTTCTCGGCCTCTCAGGACAAGAAAGACTTGCCTGAGTCTTTGAGGTGCTGGTGTATGTCCAGAGAAGGGCAACAGAGCTGGGGAAGGGTCCAGATAAGTCAGTCATATGAAGAGTGGCTCAGGGAGCTGAGGGTTTTTAGCCTGGAGAAAAGAAGGCTGAAAGGGGTCCTTATCACTCTCTACAACTCTCTAAAAGGGGGAAGGAAGGTATCCCAAATTAAGAAGAAATATAGTCTCAAGTTGCACCAGGGGTGGAGGGTGGAGGTTGGGGGGTAGAGGGGAGAGGCAGAGGGTGGTTAAATTTAATATTAGGAAATAATTCTTCATGGAAAGAGCTGTCAAACATGGGAACAGGCCAACCAGGGAAGTGGTTGAGTCACCACCCCTAGTGGTATTTTGAAGATGTGTGGATGTGGCACTTACGGGCAGCATTGGACTTGATTGTTCTGGGTTAAGGGCTAGAGTTGATCTTAGGGGTTGATCTTCCAATGTAGAAGATTCTATGTTACTATGACAGTCATATTTATTATTAGATATTTTGTCATACTTATTCCTAGAACTACAAATTCTGCAGTTTCAAAAAACCTGAAATTGATCTAACTAGTCTGCACTCCAGATGCTTGCTTGCATCTTTTTGAAAAAATTGAACATCACATTTGTCACTTCCTATTAGTGTGGTACAGAGACAGCTTAACTGTTGCATCAGTATGGAAAGTTTAACATTTTTCTTCTTCAGACAGCTAAGAGCCTTTGTATGCATATTAAACAATCAGAGTAATTTGTTTTTACTTTCTCTTTGACTACTTCTCCCCCATCCCCCCACCCCCACCCCCCCACCCCCAAATACTATTCTGTTGTTAATTCAACTTGGAATAGTGGTTTAAGCTTGGCCATGTGCAATGGATTGAACTTTTCTGTTTTACCAGTGTCCCCCTTGAATGCTTTTACATTTTGAACATCTACTGATCCCTCAGGCTCTTTGAAATGATCTCTTTTTAAAAGAATATATTATTTTGTGGCATTTCCCTCAAAGTTGTCCTTCTCATTTCTTATTACAGTTTTAATGTTCTGGAATTGTTTTTGACAAGGGGGCATTCCCTGAGCTGATAATTACTTCATTTGCTGAAATTTTTCTCTTAATTCTAGTTTATCTTTCTGTGTGAATATACTATTTTTTTTCCCTTTTCAAGTTAGGGTTCCTTGGATTTACTTCCAAATGCATTGCTGTACATTTTTACAGGAATGCAAGCTGCAAGATTTGGTTTTGTCAGAAAACTATCTGTGACCTAGAAAAATCTGCAGTGCCTTTAGATTGATGTAGATTACAAATGTCTGTAAACACCTGAAGAAAGCACCCTGTCAAGGTTTGCTATGGATCCAGTGATATAGGCAACTTTAGTACACCTAATTTTCAGTTTGGGAAACACTAAATTTATTTTTTCTTATTGCCTTATCTGAATGTCATAGATATGAGTTTTTCTTCATTGTGATTTTAATTCGGAAGTGAGTTCCTCTACAAAAAAGCTTCTAAGCAATTTTTTTGTTTCCCTCTCCTAATTTATTAAAACCCAAAAGGGTATGATATAGATGGCCTGTATTTTGTTTATGGAATAACAGGAACTACAGCTCAAAAAAGTGCCAAGACTGATAACAGAGCTATTTGAGGGAGTCAAGAGAGAGCTTTTTAGAAGAGATGAGAGACACACAGAAGCCACACACTTGATAGAGTAGAAGCAGCACACTTTCTAAAGGTTTTGAAATAAACATCTTTGCATGAAATGAATGCTCAGCCTTCCCAAAAGGTTCTCTGCCTAGCAGAGATAACATACTGCTCAAGCTAAAGGCAGAGGGCTTTCTGAAAATCATTACTGGCATTACTGTGCTGATCTAATGTATATGAGCAGTAAATTAAGAATTATTTGTTGACACTAGTCAAAAAAGCCTATTTGAACCATACTTAATTCTTAACTCTGAATTATGAAAGTAAAATAGCAAAATTAGAAACTTTTTAATGTCATGTTTATTAGTTGTTGTTGTTCTCCCATAGTACATTTGTCTGCATATTTCAAGGCTGTACAAAGACTGGTGTAAGTGCTTAATACCTATTAACAGACTAACCCCCTTTAGTCAATAATTGACCCCTCCTGCAACCAGAGATCAGATATATGCCAGGAACATGAGTGAAGAAATAAAATAATGATAGATGTTGTAAAAACCAGAAGAAAAAATAGATAGGAAAGAAAACAAGGAAATAAGCATGTTCATTATGAATGTGACTGGTTATTGTGTCTCTTAATAGTGAAAACAGCTCTTTATAATATTGTGGCTATACTAACCATGAAGCAGATGAGAAAAAGAGTACCAATGTTGTATTACCAGACAGTCTGGGAACAGAAGGGGCTATATCAAGAGACATGGCAAGCACCACTGATGGGGTATGGGTGTTATTGATCCTACAAACAATACTGGAATGGCGCTTACTACCATGGGTATTCTCCCAGGTACAGACAGTAATGGTACAGACACTGGCACCAGGGGGACGTGGCTTGTGCTTCCTGCTGCCTGGGGACTTTTAGGAGCCACTTTAGGTGCAGGCAAAAACTAGAAGTAGTCTTCTGGCTGCTCTGAGCTGTATATTTAATTCACAATGGTTGGCTCCAGGATGCCAAAGTGCAGAGATCAGATATATCTCCTTTTTTATTTTGATCAAATTCTTAGAACCTCTGAAGTTTGCCCTGGAATATAGATTACACAGAAGCAGTAGGCAGGGCAGTATATATATGCAGGGGGAAAATACCCCTTCTTTGAGACCCCTTTGCAGCAGCCAAGCTGGGACAACAGCTTACAGGCAAAGGTGTAATAGACTCACTGGACAACAATGGTACTGGGCAAGGTAATAAGCATTATGCATGTTAAGGTTTATGCTAGTTATAAACTTCACGTTGGTAGGAAAATTGACACAAATAGTAAAGTGACATTACTTGTACCTATTTGTCAGTCAACTTAAAAAAGATAGGAGAGAAGGCAGCCATGAGGGAAGAAGCAGACATACACAACCCTCTCCACCCACATGCTCCTCATCTTCCCTGCTAGAAGATGTATCTATGCTGTCAGTATCACACAGGCCTATCTTGTCACAGAGCTAATGACAGCTCCGCATGAATGCAACCTTCTTAAAAAAAAAAAAAAAAAAGAAGCAAGGCCCAAACAAACATGCATCTATGATAACTTAAATTGATGAAGAGTCTCATCTACAAAAAACATCAGTGAATAACATCAGTTTAAGAGGTGGAGAGTCCCTCTGTAGCCATGCCATACTCATCAGGTCTAATACTTGATCTGTGAATGGTCATCACCACATACCTAATTTGTACATTAACTTAATTTTTTTTCAGAGGGTTCACAATTTTTCCCATGAAGAGTATAGTCTTATCCATAGTTATGACCATTAGGAAGGGCCTGTCGAATATAACAGTAACTGGAACGGACATAGGCACTATTTCCATGCCAGTGGCAGCTGCAGCTTCGGTGCCAGTCTCATCCACCTTTACCACAGCCTTATGAATAGCCTGTGAAAAAACAGACATTTTACAAGTCAAGGGGGTACAAAACTAGTCGCTTAAATAAGAATGAGAGTTAAAAGTGCCTGAAGTAGTTAATTGTAAGAAACAAGTGTCAGATGGACAGATACGAGTCCATGGCTTAATGACAGCAAAGTTGGGGGAGGAGGAAATAAAATCAGCAAGCTACATGCAGTGCAGCTTTCTAGCCCTAGAGAGGAAACCACTGGAGGGGCATGTCCCTGCTAGTGAAAACATTTGCTTTGCTTCTTTTCTTATTCTTTGTATCCACTCCAAAGCCATGGAGATCTGGACAGCTAGACCAAATGTTAATACAGTAAGACTGTATTTTACTGTGTATTAGAAGTTCATATAGTTGAAGAAACAACATGCAGATTAGCACAATGAATAGAAATCTTAAATTGTGTTTCCCATGTTCCTTCATGTTTTGGGCAAAATGGGAACAAAGATGAAGGGCCAGAAATGGAGGGTTAAAGCACAGAAACACAAAAGTTTGACCTTGTGAAATCAAGACACTGACAGATCCTGATTCGCTAATGTCTACTTGAGGTCATGAGGACAGTTGTTTTCTTCATTAGACAATTAAATTTGCCCTGATTATCAGCTTTAAACTCTAGGTTTATTGAAGCATGATCTATCTGTAGCTTTTGCCTGAGCCTGGCAGTCATTGTTAATATGCTTAAAGAAAAATGTTTGTAATAACTGCATTTTAATTTCCCCCAAACAGTTTAAAAACAAGTGTTTTTTCTCTTCCCTCACCTCCATAAAATACAAGCAGTGATACATCCTACAGCTCCCTACTTGCCCACAAGCAGGCTAGAGAAGGCAGACACGAACAGAAGCAGCCAGTGGTGACTGTAACAACATGCTGCACGAAGGTACCAAGGTGTGGATAAATAATGGTTGTGTATGTTTTATAAAGTTGCCACATGCAGGTCAAAATAGCCTTTTATTTTTAATCTACAGATTAAAAAATTACAGACTAGTAACTTGCTCCAACCCAATTGTTTATACAGTGCAACAAGGATGAAATACTCTGAATGCTATCAGCTGCCTTTTTATGTGAAGCAAAGCCTCTTTACATGAGTTTTGCACCATGAATAGCTGTGCAGAAAGTGATACAAGTATTAGTAACCATGGGCCCATAAACAAAAAGCAGTTATGGCTTACCTGGGAAATTCTGTGCTGGGGCTGCCCAGTGATCCCAGAGAGGTCAGCCTTGTCCGTGAATAGATCCATGATGCCCATTTTATATAAGATATCTTTTAGGTTATATGTCCCATAAAGCGTGAATTTCGGAAGATACAAATTTACTGAGCTGCCAGAAAAGAAGTGCAAGAATATGGTGAAGCATTTGATCACAGAATAACATAGACTCATAAGAGAAAAAACTGATTTTGCTTTCTCCCTAAAGACATTTTGCCTGTAGCCCCTCTCTAGCCTACACAGAAGATGTAAGTTTTTTGAAGTTAGTGATCTCTTGTGCAACTTGCTGGAAGCACCTTCATCATGATCCATTACTGAGGATGCAGAGGATTTACCTTGTGAAAAAGAGATTCCTTCAGTGTCTCAAGCTAAGTACAAAAAAATATCCAACACATTCAAGTTCACTGAATGTTACCTTTGGATAAAAAAGGTCTTGTGGCCTTGTGTATTTATCATATAAAAAAAGACAGATAAAATGGAACTATATCTACTGAAGAAGCAGGACAATAGTAAGTAGTGATAGAAGGCATGGCAAAACAAAAGACAAAAGCAAATTTACAGAATATAGTTAGATATATTATTAAATCTATTATATATTAATAGATAATTATTTTTCTGTGTCAAGCCCAGTGTCTGACATACTTAAGTTTAGATTGCTGCTCTCCATAAATTAACTAAAGCGCTATGTTTCTGACTAATTTCTTCCTTGTTTTTTCTCCAAGTATCTAACAATTACTTTTCAAAGGTTAAGGCCAACATTTACAGCTAGAAGCAGCATGAGACAGAGGTTAGTGATAGCACTGATATTAGGTGCTGTTTTCTGGTGAGAAATTAGGACAGCTCTCCAGGCCTTTAGGTCAGGGAGATGTGGAGCACTTAATGAAGCTAGCCCAAGAGAAAGTCATCCAGTGGGCAGGTGGGAAGGAGAAGGCCCACACCTCCAGCATTGCACAGCCTCTGATGCCAGCTCTGGCTGTATCCAAAAACAAGAGTGCTGGTGGATTGGCATCAGGTTACTGACCTCTTACTTCCCAGTTTCAGTCTGTGCTGATTGCTGCCCCAAATGAGGATGCAGCAATCCCTGAATCATCTGCCCTGCTGTTACCTAAAGGAACTCCTTCTCAAGCCCCCACTTGCTTCCAGTACAGAGGAATGGGAAAGCCACAGACACACAGTAACAATGCAACCAGGGAAGGAGCAGTGGAATATACTTTCCAGAAGGGAAAATGACATTTTCTCTATAGTTCAGCCGTTTAAAACATCTCAGCTCTCTGTACTGGTGACACTTCAGCACCATCCTTTTCGTCAGCCACCACAAATGAAAGATGTCCTTCACAACACTTCTACCACTAACATCAACATCAGTTTTCAAACAGAGAAGGGACAAAAAGGTAGCTCACAGCTTTTACATGATTCTATATAATATTTTAATTTATTAAGACCTCCTAGAGATTCCAAATAATAGCTGATACAATTGTTTTAAAGATTAAAGGGAAAAGGAGGAATTTGTATCATTATTATGTCGGAGAGAATGATTATGATGAAAAATGGGGAGCAGCATGAAACAAACTTATCTTTGACTGTGATTCTTTTTCATATTATAAAATGCAGAGAGGAAATGCGAATTCCTCCAATTTCATTTAGCATTCATCTTGATCATTGTAAAGGCAATTTTTTCTTTGGCAAAAATTATATCTAAGTATCTTGATTCACCATCTTTTTGTCCTATAGGCACACATAGCTACTCCCAGAAGTTTCAAAACTGTAAATTACATTGTTTTTGCCGGGGTTTTATCTGCTAGTTTTTGGTTTTGTTTTTGTTTTTTTTTCTTTGTTGTTGTATTTTTGTGGGGTCTTTTTGGTGGGTTTTTTGTTTGTTAATTTTGTTTTGTTTTGTTTTCACATATCGAGCTTTGCCCTCATAATTGCTGAATGGAAGTTGTTACTTCAGCATTAACTGTACAATTGCTGTTAATTTTAATAGACAGAAATTAAGAAACAGACAAGAAAAGAGGCTGAAGTGGTAGGAATTTACTTGTAAACAGAAGGCAGAAAACTTCCCTCCTTCTCCCCTATTATTTACTTGTAAATAGAAGGCAGAAAAGTGAGAAGAGGTCTAAGTCAAAAAACTTGAGCCTATTAAGAGCTGAAGATGGGAAACAAAATGCAGAAACAGCAAAAGTCCTAATCTGTGAAGGTTTTCAGTGTATGCAGTACTGAATGTGAAAACACATGGACACTAAATCAGCCCTAGATCCAACTTAGGTCAGGAAATTTCTTCTACTGCTTAAAGCAGAACTAAACATTGCATACTGATTCTGTGTCATACCCCAGCACATTTGTTTCCTTGGCTACCATCTGAACAAAGAACTGCAGAATTTTACCTTTTTGTGACTAATGTCGACCACCTTGACAAATGTTCACAAGACAATCTTTTCTCCAGCTTCCTCATTCTTCCTCTATCAGGCAGAATAAAAAATGCTGAAGCACCTCCTTTGTAATCCATTTGCACCACAGTGGAAGACAGCTGCTCATCATAGCCATGCTTGAACAGGCCCATTCCAAACATCATGGGGACTTCAACAACCTTGTTCCCATCCGCAAAAAATTTGCTCATTTTAGTGTATTTTGGATCAAAAGGTTTTTCCCATTCAGCTTGAAATATAAGAGACAGAATTACAGGATATTTTTGAGGACATGAAACCATAGGGCATATTATTATAGGACACATTCTTAGATGAAAGAAACTGGCACAGATGGATCAGCTTCAAAGACAAACCAATTTGCAATGATCACTTGATCTTACTAAATACTTAGAATAATTCAATAGCAACACACAACTGGTAGAATGCGATATTAAAAACTCCCTTAACTCTTACAGCAGGCTGAAAAATCCTTCATTTAGATGAGTTATCAAGGGTTCTAACTTGCACTTTTCGTCTATGATAACAATTCTGAGGAGCCTGTAAAGTCCTCATATAATGCAGCCTTTATCTAAGCTCAAAAGAAGATTGTCTCATTTTCTTATTCCCAAACCAAAATAGGCTTGTAATAGGTGACATGAGGGATGAGTTCTCCAGAGAAATTAAGGGATTTGTGTTACTTGCAGAAAGGTGTTGATACCTCACATTAGCTGATGATGTATAGAGAGTCATAAGGAGCTTAATTTTACCAGACTGCTGAGTTAGGAAAAAAAAGCAGCAACAGCAGAAAACTTTTCCACTGTCATCTTCACCATATTAAATTTTCAAATGTTCCTCACTTAGTCATGAAGTCCACATTGAAACTCTGAAAGGTTCTTATCCTCAGTGGAGAGGAGTTTCAAAGTTCAAATTCCAGGTATCCATGTCATACGTTTCAGAGGCTGAGCAAATTTTTTTTAAAGGGAAATTTGTGGAGTTTTGGAAAGGTTTTTTGTTGCTGTTATTTTAATTTTTAAGAAAGCTTGTTGCTCTGTAGTAAATTTTGCCTTCTAGAGCAAAACTAACATTTTATCAAATGTAATGGGAAAAAGTAGAGCTGTCACACTAAGTAAAATAAGTGGCATCAAGAAAACCATGAAACAAGATGAAACCCCTGTTGACTTCTGATTTCTATTTGAACACTGATTACTAGGCAACTTATTACAAATGAAATAATTATTGTCTGCTGTCTCCACCATCTGACATAGTCTGCACTACTAAATAACTTTCAAAAAAGTGAAATGAAACTTCTTCAGTGCCTGTCTTGGTGTCTGAAAGCATAGATTGACAACTGCAATGCTCTGAACAGGGAAAAGTTGCTACTTTTATACATTTCATATACTTTTATATATTTCATTAATAGTGACTTCTATCATCAGATATAACAGATATAACACACAGGACTTTTACATTATTATGCCTAAGGGAAAAAAAAAAAAAAACAGAATGGATCACAAAAACATGAATGACACCAGTCCTGAAAACCTTAAACAACATTTATCTAGTGCTCAACTCAGGGAAAACCAACTGATTTCAAGAAGAACTTTGCTTGAAAACTGAGTAGGATGTTAGGACCACTACTCTGGGCATCAGGAGTGCAAACCTGGGCCTCTTCAGAGATCCACTTGGGATAAGGCCATGGAGGGAAGAGGGCCCCAAGAAAGCTGGTTTGTCACAACAATCTAATGCAGATTTATAGGTTGGGGGCAGAGTGCCTGGAAAGTGGCCCAGTGGAAAAGGACCTAAAAGTGCTGATTAACAGCAGCTGAGCATGACCAGCTGTGCCCAGGTGGCCAAGAAGGCCAATGGCATCCTGGCCTGTGTCAGCAATAGTGTGGCCAGCAGGACCAGGGCAGGGATTGTCCCTCTGTACTCAGCACTGGTGAGGTCACACCTCAAGTTTTGTTCAAGGTCTGGTTTTGAGACCCTCACAACAAGAAAGACACTGAAATGCCAGAGTATTGAGGGCAACCGAGCTGGGGAAGAGTCTAGAGATGCAGTCATGTAAGGAGCACCTGAGGGAACTGGGATTTTTAGGCTGGAGAAGAGGAGGCTGTGGGACGGAACCTCATTGCTCTCTACAGCTGCCAGAAAGGAGGCTGTAGCCAGGTGAGGGTCCCAGGCAACGAGTGATGGGACAAGAGGAAATGGCCTCAGGGGAGGTTCAGGTTGGACATCAGGAAGAATTTTTTCACTGAAGGGGTTATCAAATCTTGTAAAAGGCTGCCCAGGGATATGGTAGATTCATGATCACTGGAAATGTTCAAGAAATGACTGGACTTGGAACTTAGTGCAAACAGTTTGTTTGATATGGCGGTGTTCAGTCAAAGGCTGAACTCAAAGATATTGCAGGTCTTTTCCCACCTTAATGATTCTATGATTCTCTTAATATTCAAGGATGACCTCCACCAAGCCCAGAAGTGATCCATCCTAGCAAAGAAGAAGTCAGGTAACAATGCCAGGAGGTCTCTCTGGATGAACAAGGAGCTCTTTGGTGAACTCAAACACAAACAGATAGCCTACAGAAGGTGGAAGCAAGGACAGGTAACCTGGAAGGTATAAAAAGAAATTTTCTGAGCCTCCAAGGAATACATTAGGAAAGTTAAAGGTGTGATAGAATTAAGGGACATTGAGGGCAACAAGAAAAAGTTCTAGAGGTATGCTAATGATAAAAGGAAGACTAGGGAAAATGTTAACTCCCTCCAGAAGGAAATGTGAAGCCTGGTTACCCAGAACATGGACAAGGTTGATGTATTCAATGACATTTTTTTCCCTCAATCTTTACTGGCAAGTGCAGGGACTGGAAGAATGAAAGAAGCAATCCAGTGTAGAAGAAGATCAGGTTTAAAAACATGTGAAGAACCTGAAGATGAACATGTCCATGGGACCTGCAGATCGTTAGGAAAATAGATGGAACAGCTAAACCACTATCCATCATATTTCAGAAGTTATGGCAGTCCAGTGAAATTTCTACTGACTGAAAATGATAAATGAGAGCTCTCATTTTTAAAAAATGAAGAAAAGGAAGACTCAGGAAAGTACCAGTCTTTCTCACCTCTTTGAGTGGCAAGATATGGAGCAGATCCTCCTGGAAACTGTGCTAAGACATATGGAAAATTAGGAAGTGATTGGTGGCAGACAGCATGACTTCATAAAGGGTAAACTGTGGTAAAGGAAGATCAACCGATGTAATCTACCGGAAGCTATGCAAAGAACTTCACACTGTCCTGGATGACATCCTTGACTCTAATCTGGAGAGATGGGTGTGAGAGGTGGCCTACTGAGTGGATAAGGAATTGTCTGGATGTTTGCATTTGAAGGCTTGCAGTCAATGGCTTGTTGTCCAAGAGGAGATCAGAGATGACCAGTGCTCCTCAGAGGTTTGGTATTAGGACCAGTGATGTTCAATGTCTTTGTTGGCAAAGTGAACGGTGGAATTGAGTGCACCCTCTCCAAGTTTTCCAGTGACACCAAGATGGTGGCATGCTGTAAAGAAAGGATGCCCTCCAGAGTGAAGGCATGTCACCCAGACAGAGAGGGTGCCACGCAGAGAGAGTGAGACAGGCTTGAGAGGTGGGCCCATTAGAATATCATGAAGTTCAGCAATGCCAAGTTCAAGGTCCTGCATGTGGGTTGGGACAATCCCAAGCATAAATAAAAGTTGGGAAAAGAATGGATTCAGTTGAAAGAAGACCTGAGCAGAAGGACTTGAACCGACAGGATGAGAATCTCAGCATGGCCCAGGAATGTCTGCTTGCAGCCCAGAAAGCCAAGCACATGTTGAGCTCCATCAAAAAGTGTGGCCAGCTCCACTTCTGCTTCACTCTGGCAAGATGCCACCTGGAGTACTGCATTCAGTTCCAGGGTCTCTGATAAAAGAAGGATATGGACCTGTTGGAGTTACTACAGATGAGGGCCATGAATATGATCAGAGGGCTGGAGCATCTCTCCTATAAAGACAGTCTGAGAGAGTTGGGGTTGTTCAGCCTGGGAAGAGAAGGATCCAGGGAAACATTAGAGTCCCTTCCAGTACCTAAAGGGGGGAAGAACCTATAGAGGGGGGAAGACTTTTTATGCAGGCAGATAGTGATAGGACAAAGAGGAATGACTTTAAACTGAAAGAGAGCAAATTTAAATTTAGATTAGATATAAGAAAGAAATCCTTTACTATGAGGATTGGGAGGCTGGAATAGAGAAATTGTAGATGCCTCATCCCTGGCAGTGATCAAGGCCAGGTTGGACAGTTGTTTGAACACTCTGGTATGTTGGAAGGTGTCCCTGCCCATTCAGGGAGATCAGAACTACATGATCATTAAGGTCTCAAACCATGACTATCAGTTAACACACAGATTAGACAGAGATGATATTCACTGATACTTTCATCCTATTTCAAAGGCACTCCTATTCCTGTTCTGAGTTCTCTCTTAGGGGGATACCTTCTAGGCACCTTCCTCAAGTGCTTCACAGTGCTCAAGTTGCAAAATGAAATTTGAAGTACTCTTTGTCATTACCAGCTTGACTGAAGCATGAAAAGGGATTGGTGTAATATAGTGGAATAACATGTCTTGTAGGTCAAAGTCAGGAAAATATTGCCAGACTTTTGTCCTTGAAGAAAGAATTCTGTACTATGCTACACCTAAAAAAATTGCCACCAGTAATGTGCAAGGGAGTTTGTAATGCACAAAAAGAATACAACCACCTGAAAGTATGGACTGATTATAGAGCTAAGTGAGGTTTAGAAATCCTCTCCAGATTAATCCCAGGTCTAGATAATTAAATTACTCTTGATCTCAAGACTAAAATAATGTTATTATATTATTATGATTAATGCTATTCTTTAATCATTTGCTTTAAAATTGATGAGCTAAAACTGAAACTCCACCAACTTTACAGCAGCTAGGAAATCTTTGCAGTAGCAAACTGAACATCTCTTACAAAAAAAAAACAACAACCCTTACTGTTAGGACAGGTAAAAATTAACTGCAATACAAAATCATCTTTTATACAAAGTTTCTTGAACTTTTGTCCCCATTGTGCTACTAAATTCATTGCTTATTCTTCAAACACCTTTCAGTAAAAGAAAAGTCAGTGGTTTTGCCTGTTTTGAAAGATGTACCTGATGCCTAATAAAAGTCTAAATGAAAGCATTATTTGAGATAAGCAAGTAGGTTTTCAAGAGAACTAAGGAACATCAGTCATCATTTCAATTAGCTCCGTTTAGTTGTGGCCAAATCTTCAGACATTAATACAAGGAGCAGAGATGCAGATGGAAAGCAAAGAAAAACAGAAGTATAGTTCTTAATTATTTTCAGGGGAAGCCTCATATTGGAAAGTGCAAGCATCCAGGTTAGCAGTTCTAAAAGGATAGCTTGTCTTTTAAAAATTTATCTAATATGCCATCTCCATTTCAATTAAAAAGCTTGATGATATTTTTATCAGATAAATTACAGAATATTATTTTTCTGACTACAAACACTTTGCTTTCAGCATATAATCAGTAAGAGAGAGAAAGTTTGAAATAAGATGCAATATCTGTTATTAGACCACTGATTGAGTCTTACAGCCTTGATCCTCTTCGTCTCATTAGATCAGAAGTCTGAAAAGCTCTGGGAACATCTGAAGACTGTATCTAAGCAGACTGCACAAGTTAATTAAGAAAAACAAGCTTATTGTCAATAGGCTTGTATTTGATACTGGTGGGTCCATCTCTCCACTGGAAAATATTAGAATCTGCAAATCAAAAAAAAAAGGTTGAAACCTATGCCTCTAGATGCACCAGAACTACAGACATGCTATCGGCAAAGGCATAGTTAGTGAAAAAATAAGGAGAACGTGAGTGTGCAACTAAAGCTATTGTAGCATGCTTAGTTTTCAATACATAAACATTCACAGTAACAGCAAAGCTGTTGTCTAAACATACTCTGTTTGATAAGATGCTAGGTTTTCCTTTAATAGCATTCTTTGAATTTAACTCTGAACTTGATGAACAAAAAAACAGCTGGATTGAAATTCACAGAAATGGATCTCGGCCAAGGATTTAAGAAAGTGCTTGAATCCTACTAGACTGTATAGGATTAGATAGATGCTTTACTGCCTAGCGATGCCTTCCTCAGCATATATTTCACTTAATTTTCTGAAAGAAAGAAGTTAATATATTAAAAGATATGGGAAAACTTGCCATACCTTTTGCTAGGAATTATCAGTGTCAAGTAGAACATAATTTCCAATAGCTTTGTTTCTAATTAAATATAAGTGAGGACCAAAAGGGAAACAAGATATGAGTCCGCCTGCAAAACCACATTGCAAAAAATGATGAAGTCCAAAGCTGACCTGAGGAAATACTTTATGGAGTAGAAGAACACAATATGTATATCTTACCGTTAAAATAGATATAGCTAATAAGGAGAATTTCAGTAAGTGGATCTAGGTTATTTACGAGGTCCCTGATTTTTCCATTCGTTCTTCTTGCCACATATTCATTGATCTTTAGCTGGGCTTGATCAGCCTTCTTGAAGTTCATAGGATAAGCTTCTCCTTCATAGAAGTTTCTGAGATCATTTAAAAATCTTTCTTGTGGCTTCAGTCGATCAAGCACAAACAGAACATTTCCCATATTCAACTGTAACCCCCCATTCCTTCTGTTTACCATTTGCATGAGTTGACGATAACCTTCATGTATGTCATTTTCAGAAATCTGACGAGGGTTAAAGCAAAGGACCCTAAGAATCTGTGTCAGGGTGTCTGATCTGGCACCCAGAGTCAGCATGGCAAAGGCAGTAGAGATGCTCAAAGGAGAGAAGAAAACATTTCCATTGTTTTCACGAGAAGATATTTCTTTGTAGAAACAACATGCAAATCGACAAACACTGTTCGTTACACTCTGCAATGGCATGTTTTGGTTTCCTTGTGCTCTTTGATTCTGGTTTCTTACCCCTTGTTGATAAGGCTCATAGCAATAAATGTTGGAATGTATTCCAACAAGTAAAAGACACAGGAAAAGCAACATCTTCATATTTCTGTGATTCTGTAATAGAAGAAAAGTTACATTTGGCTTACAAATCTTTTCACCTTGTGTTTAGCAATACATCAATACCTTCACTATACAGAGTTAACTTAGCACCAGTGACTCTGAGATGTTTGAATTGGGGCAAATGGGGGAAATGAGCTTTCTATTTCAAGGAAGCAGACTCTGGAATATTGCTCAACCTACTGAAGAGGTTATGAAATAATAAAAATTAAAGTCAAAGAGGGATGAGGTAATTCCAAATACGCCCTCATTATAGTTAAGCTACAATTCATTTTAAACTGGTTTTTTTCCCCCAATATTGTATTTTTGATGTTGCTTTAAGTGATGAAAGAGAAGAAAGCTTATAGAGAAGAAAGCAAGGGAGACAGTCAAGGCCAATCAGTTAAATTTGGAAATTTAACTGATGAAAAAGCAGAAGAAAGACACAATATACCTCTTTTGTGAAAATTAAAACATACATCTTTGAATGGGCTGCATATAAACCCATATGCAGGCACCTAAGAGAATGCAAATGCACTTGTTAATGAAGAAGTGATGAACATTTATGGTGATTTCATAAAGCTTGAGCAGTTAAGCACAACTAAAAGAAAAAAACAACTTCCACTAAAATAACAGAAGAAATAGCCATTAGGATGTTGTGAAAACCCTCAGAATACAGTACTGCTTATATAGACTGGGAAAATGAGTATGTACATAGAGCACCAAAAGGAAATAAGTGAGCCTGCTGCATGCAAAGACATGCCCAGCCCAGTGACTGAATCAAATCACTCAAAAACAAAATTTTAAAAAAATAGAGAATCTCTAGACCTAATAATGTCTTTACCATCAGAAAGATAAAAAAGGGTGATTTGGGAGAGAAGTTTACAATGGCTGAAAGTGAAGACAAGTGAGTGAATTCAAGAGGAAAAAGACACTAAAAAAATAGAGATAGAACAGGAAAATCTTTTCCAGAGAAGAATGGAAACCATTCATTCCACATCTGTGGCAATACTCTCACCTCTAGAAATTAATACTGTATCACAATTGGTTCAATAACTTCTGTCAATAGAGAGAAATAAAGATGTGGAATATCTAGAAATCCAAAACATCCTTCTGTAGTATGTAATCATTTGATCTACCAAACTTTATATAAACCAAAGCTCTCTCTAGGGGAAAAAGACCTAAAGTTTTTTACTTGCACTGAGAAATGTAGACTCTGCCTTGTAAAAGCTCTGAATCCTTGTCAGCTCCCACCATGATCCCACATTTGTGTTCTCCACTTTCCATCACTTTTTTTCTCCAAAATGCAGTGAACTGAGAATGCTGATCTTGGCTTTAGTAATAGATGCTCTAAATATTCCTTAATTCACACTCTGAATATCATGGTCATAGAAATACTACTAATGCTAGGAAGGGCCTGAACCCCATGACAAACCACTTTCAGACAGTGCACTTTCATGTCTAGAACACATTTAAATTTAAGGTCTGATTTGTTTTAGACCTCTCCCACTCTTACACTAATTCTTTAAGCCAGTTTCTTTTTTTTTAATGCTGTCTAGATGCTTTAGAGAGCAATCCTTAACACCCCACTTCCATTTAGTTTCATGCCCTACATTGGTTATTATCATCAATGTACTTAATTTAAAACACTTAGAAATGCAGTTTTCCTAAGGACAGTCATGAATGTGCCAATCTCACAGAGGACTTATCTTTTCTACTTAAAAAAAAATAAAAACCTAAATCATAGTTAAACAATCCAAGAAGCTTTAAGCCAAAACTTGTATATGAACATAATAATTTCTCAATTCAAAAATTTTTGTCCTGAATATAATTTTTGACAATTTATCCACATTAAAAAACCCCAAAACATTACTTACAGTGACTTCAAAAGTGTTGTATTCACCAGGTCTGCACGGGTCCTTGCTCAGTTGTTTATGCTGTGAACACAAAGCAGGGTATCCTCTAGTAAAGGTTAAGATCATCTAAGGGCCGTGACTCACACATTATAATTTTAGAGATTACTATGATGTCGAAACTAGTTTTACTGGACATTTAACTTCACTGAATATGTTTCACACGTGACTTCTTATTATTCATGACTATCTGATCACTCTGGTTAGATTCAAACCCATTCTTCTCAAACTGAACCTACTGCTTCTTAATATCAAGCATTCATACATATCTCAGTTGCCTGAATCTACTATTTTATTAACAAGTTACGAGAAACAGCAAGCACAGAGAAATATTTTGAACATCATTTGCATAATTTCCAGAACTTCCAATAGCATTGATGCCACTAAGACAGGAGGGCAAGGCTTGATGCACCAGGACAATCTGAATTTTTGTGATCTACCTTGCTTTGTCTCTGCATATCCATGGCTGATTGTCTCCAGGTGAGGCCAGTGATGATTCTAATAGGTGCAAGGCTTAAAACACTGTTGTGCCACACTAGCAAATGCTGTCAGATGTGTACCTGGCTATCCACTCCCAGACAGGGAATCCACTGGCAGCAAGAGCTGTGATATTGACTCCTGGGTCACTTGTATGGCCCTGTGCCCAGAGAAGAATGCAGCTGGGATGACATTGTATGCAGGTGATTGCAGTTACAAGCATGGCCTGAGGACAGGGGTGGAAGCCAAGGAACATGGGTGTTAAATAGAGCAAGTCTTTAGATCATCTTACTATCTTATAATCTGGGATGTGGGGAGCAATCCCCTCTGATCGTGTGCCAAGTTCAGCTGGGTCAGATCAGACAACCTGGTATCCTGTGCTCAGCTTTACTCCTGGGTGCAGAATGACCAAAGCATCATGGAAGGGAACTCTGGGGACCACACTGTTCAAACCCTTGCTCAAACCAAGGTCAGATACACTGAACAGTTGCTCAGGATGGTGTCCTGCTGGGTTTTGACTCCCTCAACAATGGAGACTCCATAAGCTCTCTGGGCAATCTCTCTATTGCAGTTTTTGACAACACCAACTCTAAAACAGGTTAACAGGTTTTCTCTACATTTAAATGGAACTTATTGTATTTTAATTAGTGCTCATTGCCTCTTGTCACTAGATACCACTGAACAGACACTACTTCTGTCTACTTGTCTCATCAAAAATTGGCTGATTATACATTGTTGAGACCTACACGGGTCTTTTTTCTCTGGGCTACACATTACTAACCTTTACTCTTTTAGCCTTTCCTCATTTGTCAGATACTGCAATTCTTCAATGATGATTCTGGCACTTTAATGAAGTCATTCTGTCACGTCCATGTCCTCCTTGCACTGTGGAGCCCAGCAATGCTTGCAGATCTCCAGATGTGCATAGCAGGGATGAGTAGAGAGAAAGGGTTTCTTGTGGTGACCTGCTGGCAACGTTCTTAGTGCAGCTCAAGTACATGGAAGTACAGACTCATAGAATAATGGAATGGTTTGAGTTGGAAGGGACCTCAAAGGTCATCTAGTTCCAAGCCCCCTGCCATGGATAAGGACACCTTCCACTAGGCCACAGGCAGGTCAAAGCCCCATCCAACCTCACATTGAATACTTCCAGGGATGGGGCACAGCTTCTGTGGGTAATCTGTTTCAATGTCTGATCACTCTCATAGTGAAGAATTTCTTGCTTATATCTAATCCAAATCTACAGTCTTTCTGCTCAAAGCCTTGTCCTATCATTATAACTTTTTGTAAAAGCCCTTCTGCAGCTCTGCTGTAGGACCCTTTCAGGTATTAGAAGGCCACAATAAGGTCAGCAGAGAGCCTTCTCCAGGCTGAAGAATGCCAGCTCTTCCAACCTGTCTTGGCAGGAAAGATGTCCAAGTCCTCTGAACATCTTTATGGACAGGCTCTCTTCTGGACAGATCCACATCCAGAGATTTAGACAGGTGTGAACAGGTTTTTGTAGACAGGTTTTCTTCTGAACAGATCCACAGCATAAGAAATGTTGAAGACCCCAGAGCTGGATGCAGCACTCCAGATGGGATCTCACCAGAGCAGAGTAGAGGGGCAGAATCCCCTCCCTCACTCTGTTGCCCACACTGCTTTGTATGTAGCCCAGAGCACAATTTTCTCTCTGGGCTGTACCTGGCTGGGTCATGTCCAACCTCTCATTCACCCTCACCCCAAAGTCCTTCTCAAGAGGTCTGGTCTGATCTGTTAATCCCCAGCCTGTGTTCATACTGGGGGTTGCCTGACCCAGGCGCAGCCCCTTGCATTTGGTCTTGTTAAACCTCATGAGATTCCCATGGGCCCACTGCTCAAGCTTGTCCTGGTCCCTTTGGATGACATCCATCCTTCAGGTATGGCAACTGCACCACTCAGCTTGGGGGTGTTTTCTGCATTTCCTGCAAGAACTTACTGGCTCCTGGTCTACCAGGAGTTTCTGATCCCCATGCACAGCATCTCACTTTCTAAAATGAGGGTAATGTTTTCTCTGATTTTCCCTCCAAAATTTCCAGGGAGGGACCAACCCTCACAACACACAAATAGAGTGCTGATGTCACTGCTGTTTCTAAGGACAATTGAAATACTAACCACAACAATAATTCAGCAATATTTTCTGGGAGGCAAAGATACAACCAGTGAAAGTTGTTGATGATTACGACCTATCAAGAGGCTCAACAGATTGCAGAAAACCCCTTAACCAGGTTGCTTACGAGGTAAAACTTGAGAAATAGGTGTCTTTGAGGCACGATACCAGATTCAGACATAGTGTGTTCTTCACATACACCATTCACCTGAAGGAGTACTTGAGATACTATTTTCACTGCTTCTTGTATAAATAAGAGCCAAGAATCTTGCTTAGAGCTGGCTTTTAATAATGGGCTGCAGTTTTCATGGTATATAAAAACTGATTTCTGATGAAGGAAGGAAGCCCAATTAAATACAGACGCCATGCTAATGACAAGGTGACGGACAAATGACTAAGATAGATTTGAACACACCTAGGCCACACCTCAGGACACTTGCAGGAGAAAGCCTACTGCTGAACATAGGAAAGCTGTCCTATGATTGGAA